CCCCCCCCCAAATCCCCTGGATTCGCTGAAAGCTAATATTGATGGGGTTTTCCTTTCAAATGGCCAAGTTGGGCTTGCTGTGGTGATTCATGACGAAATTGGAAAAATTATTTGGTTGTTGGACATAGATTGCTTCATTGGGATAGTTTGCAAAGTGGAGCATGATGCGGTCATCTATGTTATTGAAGCTTTGGATGTATGAAACAAAAAGTATCATTATTAAAGGGGATAACCACACCATTATGCAATACTTCAAGAAGAAACTGAATGGAAGAACCATCAACCGCGGTTTGGTAATGAGCAAGATCTAGCTTTTTGTTTGAATTTAAACAAGTGCTCTTCTTTTTTGTTTATGGGGAATGTAACCAAGCAGCCATTTATGTAATAGGCTGGCTTTAGATAGGTTTGCTTGGTATGCCCATTCTTGTGGCTCGGGTTTTTTGAGTATGGTTGAAGAAGATGCCAACCACACAGTTTCTTTTGTGTAGCTTCTATAGCTCTCTTTTGTACTTTTATTATTTTATATATTAATGCAAAATGCACACCCTTCATGGAGAAGGTTGAAGTGGCCACTAGTTGCGAAAGGAGGGGAGAAGGGGGGTGTTGCATATGGTCTGGAAACAGAGAGGGAGAGATGGGTGCGGAGGGACTAGGTCGGACTTTCAGGGTTCGGCAGTGAGGAGGGAGACACAGGGGAAAGCAGCAAAGTGGGCGTTGTGTGGCCAAGAGCTTGTGCAAAAGCAGGGGAGATGAAGCAGGTTTGAGAGTGAGTTCAGCCGGGGAGGGGGCCTGGGAATGAAAAGGGGAGTCTAGCCGATTATAGGCTCGACCCAAGATTTTCATCCGTCTCCAACAGAAATCAGAATAGTGAAATTAAGAACCTACTAGTAAAAACATATGTACTTCACAGATTAGGTATCCAGAGCCTCTTTGTCATCAAAGATATGTGGCTATACCATTAAACATAGAACGGTTTAGGCAGTAAATAAGGAGCAAAAAAAAAACCACAGCAAACCTGAAGCTTTCCGTCAATTGTGACCATTTTAAAAGGATGCCATTCCGGTTTCTTCAATTCATCTTGCCACAGGGAGCAAAGTTCTGCAGCCTTTACATCCGCATTATCTTTCCGATATTTCTTGATGCATGCATTATAAAAAACCTTCTCATTTAATTCACCCATTTTCTTTATGCCAATTACTGTACGATTGCTCAGAATATCCGACAGGCCCTGCAAATGTGAATTAGGTTCCTTAGAAAAGGTTAGAGTGTGAGAAAAGAAGACACTAGTAATAAAACTATCAGCTTTCACTTATGCTCGCTATGTAGAATTAAAAATCAGAGTTGGGGCCTCACAGCTAACAGTCCTTTTCGAGCTTCTTGCAGTTCATCATTGTTTTTCCTTTCTTTAACTATTAAAACTTGATTAAGGGCTTCGAGATCTTCCAATTCCTCCACTTTTTCTTTTAAAGCTTCATTCAGCTCCTCTATTTTATTGTTAACTTTAGAATCTTCACCTCCCATATGCTTCATTACTTGTAAATTTCCCTTTAGCTGTTGAATTTCTAGTTCCAACTTTTGCTTTGCTTCAATCTGCTTCTCTATCTCCATAATCTTCTTCATTGTACCCTCTTTCTCAATCTGTAAAATTTCTCCAATTCGAACTTTATATGACATTAGATTTTGTATAATTTATACAAAATTTTAACACAATATTTGCAAGAAGAGCATTTCTGGGATGTGAACCGACCTTCTGTTCTTCAACGAGCTTCAGGACATCTTTATCAGCTTTCTTCTGTTCCATGGAAGCCAACTTGAGCGAACTGTTCATGAGAGCATTCTGTAAGGATAAGAAATATTAGAGTTTAAACAAAGAAACAGGCTGTTGCTTGTTGGTGTTTGTCTACTGTTGTCACGCACACTAGTCCACAGTCGAGGCCATGATCATATTTCAAGTCAATTGCAATCTGACGAGATATAACCAATTGCTATGCCTTTTATGGTGTTCGTCTACTGTTTATGCACACTAGCCCTTGATGGAAGATATTTGAGTTTATTTGTGACCAAAAAATTATAAGTTCGTTTTTCTATTTAGTATTTGGATCCATTCGCTTAAGTTCAAAAACGGATGAACCTTGATTATATTCCTGTTAGATTTTATTATATCAATTATCTTTATATCAGATTACTTAAACGGATTCCATTTGATGTTAAAGAGATGTCAGCATATGCCCCAGTTCGGGTTGTCTCTCCCCATCTAAAACTTCATTAGGTTAATTGTAATATCTTGGCTTCTCTTACTTTTCTCTTCGATACTCCTTTGAGAATTGATATTGTGATGGCCACTTCATCCCTTTTATTTTGTGGCTATTGCTCTAATGAAAACTGATGTTACCCAAAAGCTAGCTAGAGAGATTTGGAATTCCTGAGCAGATAATTATTGCCAACAGGTTATGTTTGGAGATTTACCCTAATTCTGCCACCATTGTAAACTTCTAGATCATGATGATGCTACTTGATTTGACTTTCACCTAAACTAAAAAAGAATTATACACTCTAGTGAACAAGCATGTTTCTGCGGAGATTAATAATTGGTCCAGGAGGACAAAAATTTGAATGTTTCTTGAACTTTCCTTGGTGAACTGAATGATGAGCTGCCCAATGGTAGTTTCAATTTCCCTTCTGGCGATTTTATCATTGACGATGGTCAATGACATAAAGAAACATTATGTTGTTCATGTTCTCTCTGTGAACCTGCTAGTGAAGATGTCCACACTATTTGCAAGAATAGTCAATTACTAGTGGTGTTTTGTTTCCTAAGGATTCTTCTGATGTTTCTTCATCTTTGCTTATCCGACTTGGTGCTTGAAGGTCCGTTAGGCGGTGCTATTTTTATGGATTTGTCCTAGTAGACCTGAAGGACCTTCTAACGGCTTTATCACTATAGATGGTTCTCTACGGCATATAAATCAACGTATTCTCTTCAAATTGGAAATAGAAATAACTTGAGGATTTTACCTTCAGCAGATCATTCTTATTATCCCAATTCTAGAGTTTTCTGATTCTTCATCCTCACATTAATTTGCAGAAAATCTTTGGAATGATCTTATTGTTAATGCGGGATTTTCATGTGATGTTTTTACCAGATAGTGATCATGCCGTTTTGCCTCATGGATTTTTTTTTTTTTTTGGGTTAAAATGAAGCAAAAACCAAAAAAGTAAAGTGGCACTAGATATGACTTTATATTGACTAAATATTAATTTAAGAAGTTGGTTGCTCCTTAAGGCAACGAGGGTTGTGAGGTGCTTCTCAAGAAGACTTGTGCTATATCATGTATGGGAGAGAGGATGACAATCAATTAGTAGAATTTCAGTAAAATGAGGTATCGCTTTCTTGAGTTTGGGGTATTATCTTTTGTATAGCTACTATTTTAGCTTACGATGGGTCATCTTGTACTAGACTTTTTCTCATTAGTTATGCAATCTTACTGTCTATAAATCTTTCTCTCTCTCTAATATATATATATATATTAGCCGGGATCCTCCAATAGCAAATACTTTAAAACCAAATTAACAACTTTACAGCAAGTTATTATACAAAGAAGTAAACAAATGCAACCTAAAAGTCCTTCATGATTTTGACAAAATGAAAATTTTATTCACACATGAGACCTTCAATCATCCTAATATGTTTTTGCAACGGTGTATGGTGTTTAGGCTTAAATTGCATGAAAATGGATGCAAGATATTTTAAAAATTCATTTCTAGATATTGCAAGATGAATTAAAAAAAAAAGCAATAATGGACGATAATAATAGTTTTGCCTTGAGGCATCAATCCATACTTGTAAAATTCTACCCTTATTCTGCCACCATTGTAAAGTTCTAGGTCATAACATTTCCTCTTCCTATGGCCATCATTTGAAATTAAAAAAAAAATTATAAACTTCTTTTGTGAACCATGTTTGCAAAACTATTCAAATTAATAGTGGTGGTTTGGCTGTTAAAAAATCACCCATGTTTCTTCGTCTTTGCTTGTTAAAGATGGTTGAAGGTCCTTTGGGTGGTGCTAATATTGTTTTTTCTTTCTTGCTAAGTGTGAAGATATTTTGGTAGTTGTATTACTATGATTGTATTGGTGTAGATCAACATGTTAATAAGACCGAGGTTACGGTAGAGATTTGTATTAATGGACTTTGACTGGGTCAAACTGGGAATACAAAAAAAGGGGGGAGTCCTTCCTGCAGTAGAACACTCTTTTTCCTTCCCAATTCTAGAGTTTTATAATCTTCATCCTCACACATTTATAGAATTTTTTTGGAGAATGATCTTATTCCTAATGCTGGTGTTTCCTTTAACGTGTTCACCAATCATATAGATAGTGATTGTGCTTGTTCTGCCTGAAGAAGTTTTTTTTAAGGTTCAAATGAAGCATAAGCCTTAGAAGTAACATGTTACAAGTCATGGTTTTAGATTGAATCAATATTAATTTAAGTATTTTATTAGTCCTCTGGTCGGCTAGGATTGTGGAGTGTTTCTCATAACAACGTGTGCCATAATGTATGGGGAGCTGAAGGATGAGAATATCTCAGTAGAACTTGAGTAAATTAGGGTGGGTTTTTCTTTAGTTTCTTGTACAGGAATTTTTTCATTATTGATAAAATTTTACTACTGCATTTGAAAAAATATATAATAATTGGGATCTTCCAATAAGCTTGTGAAAATTTCTTTAAAAGCTTAGTAACTGCAACTAATCAAGTTACTGTCCAACGGAGAAGAATAAAGCAAGTTACAAGTGCTTCATGATCCTTAATAACATTTCATTTATGCCTTAAATATCAATCATTCCAGTATGTTTTGGCAATCTATATGTTGTTGGAGCTCAAATTGCATGAAAATGGAACCAGGGTAGTTTATGCGTTCATTTCTAAGCTTTGTAGGAGAAATTATAAAAACAATTAAGAATGGATGAGTGGATTTGTCTCAAGGCGTCAATCCATACCATGCTAGCAGAGGAAAAGACAACAATAATGGTTTTTGGAAGACAGTTTTGTTCTCCAATCTTTTATTTTTCATCAACAAGAGAATTAATCTAAATTCCATTTCCATCAAGAAAAAAAAAACATGGGTTTGACTTTTAGCCAGAGCTTTGAATCAAATCTAAAAAAGGTTTAGTATAGCATAAAATTTAACTGATTGCAGTTTTCTTCCATCAATATTTACTTCAACAAATATTCTTGATGTTGACCATGGATATCTCTTGATCATTCGACCAGGAGAAGTATTCCAGTTAAATTTCTTAAAAAAGCTTAAATAGATAGTGGTTTTCACATCTAAATAGCAGTGCCAAATCATGGTAATCAGTAGGCATTAAAATTTCTGAAAGATTGTGTATAAGGCAGAAACAAAAACATATACAGGGTTAAATGGAGATTCATTTACACCTTAATGATTGATGGTTAGCTGAAGAAATAAAACAGCAAAAGAATTTCTACCTTCCTTTTTGCGTCTTCAAGTTTCCTCTTATCAGAATCACTTTGAGCAACTAGTTCATTATGTTGCCTAGATCTTGCTGCAAGCTCATTTCTTTTAGAATCCAACTCCATCGTTAATTTCTCATTCTCCTCAATAATCCTACGAGAATGTTCTTGGGCAATGCGCTGCATTCTCTGAATTTCTAGCAGAGAACAAAAGCTACTATTACTGAGAAGCTCATCTCTTTATTATAAATGATCATGATAATCCTAGAATATTAAGTAGAGTATAACTTATGCAGAAAGACTGGGAACATAAGAGAGATTTTATTTTATATGTCTCATAGTGAACGTAATTGAGGAAATATCCCGCTATAATTTTTGGTGGAGAAAATCACCTTAAAGTTTGATTCAAACAAAATTACCCCCTCTTATACCCATGGCCTGCTTATTAAAGTCCATCACAAACAAAATTTGTTCAAACTATTTCAAATTTGAACCTTTGTTCAAACCTCATTCAATCTAATTTTGAATCTTCACATGCTTGCCTGCACAATGCCTTCACCTTGCGTACTCTTCTTCACTGTCTCTAGCATCTCGTTTTGCATGTGATTCCATCCATGCCTGTCACAAAGTCCTGTGCTTGTCCATTCGCCGTCCTATCTTGTTAATGATCTTCCCCTTCACATGTCACTCAATTCCATTGATATCCTCCTCGTGTGAACTCCATTAAAGGTTCAAATTCACATTTGAACTTTTGATTCAAGCAAACTTCATTCCGGGCGGGCTTCAATAAGCATTCCACCGTAATTAGAAATAAATAATAAGAAAGGAGCATTTGCTTTTTTTTTCTGAAATTATATTTTAGGCATACTTCTCAGAGAACAAATAATGGAAATATTTGACCAATTTCAATTATTATGAGGCACATAAAATCAACTTTGCCAAAAAAATGACCCAAAAGCAAATATTACTATAGGTTGCGTTTAGACAAGCTGAATAGAATGCTAGACGTAGGCCTTAAGCGCTAAAATAAATAGAATCAAATAAAATGTGCAAATATCACCAGTAACTTCCTGAATTTGTAAGTAGAAAAAATAGTTGATCAATCATAACAGTCAAAAAATAGATATGGATATCCAGATCAATGTAGGTTGGATACTTATAAAACTTGGCATCAGTCCACAACAATGCGAGTGTAGAAAAATATGGTCATTTCATGAAACAAACCATTGTTATAAGACTCGAGTAGCTTATCCCTTTCTTCCATCATCTTATCTAGTGATATAGATTTCTCATTGTATTTGCTCTCAAGTTCCTCAATGTGCTTCTTCTTGGATTCCACCTGTGTTGCCAAAACTTGGGCAAGTATGCTCTTCTTTCGCAATTCTTCTCCAGTTATGTCACTCACGGTCTTTAAATCTCCATTTTTTCGTAGATGATCCCCAATAGGCCCACCTGAATGGTAGTCATCAGCACGAGCCACCCATCCATATATTCCGGAGCCATGACGGTCTTTTTCAATCCAATCACGTTTACCAAAATGATCGGCTTCAAAATGGTTCTCAAATGCCATAGCATTTTTAAATCCTGTCCAATCTTTACTGAAATCCACAACCGCATTTCCAGTAAACCCCCTGAAATTCCATAAAGAATGGACTTTTAAGGGATTAAATCTAGAGAGCTGCTCCTTAAGCCTATTGCCACTTTCACCAACATACTTCCCATTCCTAAATTCTGTTGGAATATTCACAACAATGCCCATCCATGGCCAAACAAATTGATCAGCTTGTTCAGCTTTAGGAGGGTCCTGTTCAACAATCATTAGTTGTGGCGATGGATTTGATGTGTTGGCGAGATCATTCTTCAAGTATTTTACAAGGGCATGGTGATCTGCCTTCACCTTTGCCTTCCTGTTAGAAGCACCAATTCCTGAAGCATGTTGAAGGAGATCCTTGTACTGGTAAAATTGCCTTTTCTTTCCCAAACAAAATGGGCACCTATAGCTTCCATCTGAGACTTTTATGTTAAGTTTTTCCGTCTTCAGTTGAAGGTATGATTTGGCCTCATAATCATCAATCTCTGAGTCACTGATTTCAGAAGTTTCATCTGAGCTAGAATTCATCGATGGAGGATAACTACATAAAATACAGGTGTTAGTATTGCTTCAGCAATTAAAAGTAGAATTTGACTAGCACAAAATGATGTGGTGCCAAATAAAATTTATAAAAGAGGTAACGCATATTACATCTGATGCAATTAAAACTTCGCTTGAATTGGATGGAATCACATCTTAAAAAAGCTTAGAATTAGTTTCTTAGGGGAAAAAGTCTACAAAGAAACAGGAAAACATCATGAAGTTATTACCACTCTGATCCTTCAAACATTTTTTTGGTTCATGGCACGGCAACACCCATGCACACCTCATTAGATGTAGCATTTTGATTTATTATAGGCATGTTCATGCAGATTTTTTAATATAAATTACTCTACGCAAAAAGGATTTTACAATTAAGAAAATATTGCTCTTCTCAGTATATAGGTTTTAATGACTATAGCAGTATTCATACATTGCTTAATTTACTGTTTCTGCTAAAAGTCATATTATATTCTCAACAGCATATACATCCAGGAGACAAGCCTAATGCTGATGTACTTAAATACCAAACAAATGATGGGACCCTTTGATGATGATCTCATTGATCTTCTTCTTTCTTCCTCTAAGAAACTTGTCCAAGAATTGCATGATCTTTCCTTGAATTCTTTTCAATGGAGACCAAGATTTGTGAATTATGCTTGCAGAGAGAGAATGGTGGTGAGGAGATCCATCTTGAAGAAGAATCCTGAGAGGGTTGCTGCACCTTAATATATATGCCAAGAATATGAACCATGAGACAAAGTAATTCGAACTTGAGAATCAATAAGAGATAGGGATGTGGAAATGAGAGAGAGAGAGAGAGAGTAGTGAATCTGGAAGAATAACATGGATTTCATATAGTTAGAAATTGTATTAAGAAATAATTTAAACCTATTAGAAATTATAAGAATCAAATTTATTTCCTTTTATTGAATTTATTTCATTTCTTATTTTAGATTTATTTCGTTGAATTGGATTTATTTCTTTTCCTATTTTATGCATTTTCTTATATCTCCAAGTAATTATTATGTACTGATTAATTGGAGATACAGGATTATATCTTTCCTTTCATGTTATTTCTTTTTTCTTGCGATTTTCTTGTGGATGGAGTGTTTTGTTGAAGTTTCAGCTGCTTATAAGAATTTCAACGCCAACAAGAAGGAGATCCGATGCAACAAAAAGACTACAAAAAGATGCATCACCACTAAGGAAGCCTGCAGAAAGTTTTCTAGTCGAGAGAGAGAGGATTTACGGTCACTAGGGACCTGCAGGGAGAGAGTTCAGGCAGCAAGTTCCTGAAGGGAGAAGTTTCAGCAACTATAGCCTACAAGGAGAGGAAGTTTCCGGAGGCTAAGGCCTGCAAGAAATGGAATTTTCAGACAGTTAGGGCCTGCAGGGAGAGGGTTCTGATGGCAAGTTCCTGCGAGAAGGAGCTCTGATGGCTAGGTCCCGCAGAGAGGAAGTTTCTAACGTCTAGGGCTTGCAGGGAGAGGGTTTCAATAGCTAGTTCCTGAAAAAAAGAGTTCAAGCGGTTGAGTCCTACAAGGAGAGGTAGTTTTTGACGATAGAAGATCTCCTCTGCAAGAGACTCTAGAATTTGTTTTAAGGCTCTGATACTGTGTTGGTTTTTGAGAATTAAGAGAAATTATTTTATTAATATGAAAAGGGGGTATAATTACCTTTACATGAATCTTAGAATAAAAAAAACAAGAAAATTAATAACATTTAGCGAAAGATATAACATTTAAATCTCTCATTAATCAATTCATAATAATTACATTTTTTGAAAGGTTTTATTCATAATAACTACTTGGAGATAAAGGAAACGACATAAAATACGAAAACCTAAAATAAGAAATGAAATAAATTTAATTCAAAAAAATAAATCTAATTCTCATAACTTCTAACAAAAATAAATTATTTTTTAATATAACTTCTAACGCTAGAGTCTCCAGCTGAGGAGAAGATCTACCGTCAGAAAGTTCCTCCTGCATGGCCTAGCAGCCTGAACTCCTTGCATGAAATAGCTATTGGAACCCTCTCCCTCCAAGCCCTAGCCGTTGAAAACATCCTCTCCCTGCAAAACCTAAACGTCGGAACTCCTTCCTGTGGGAACTAGCCATCGGAACTCTCTCCCTATAGGCCATAGACACATAAAACTTCCTCTCCCTCTAGACCCTCAACGACAAATATTCCTTCCTGCAGGAACTAGCAGCCAGAACTCTCTCCCTGTGGCTTCTCTTCCGGCAGAGCATTTCCTCACTCGATCCCTACCGACGACGAATTTCCGATTGTCGGGATAAGGTGATCGGAAGTTCTCACTTAATTCGAGGTCATTTAATATGAAAGATATTTTCCTGCAGCGGGCCCTTATTCGGAGTTATTTTCTACAGCAGAACCTTCTCCAGAGCCTTTTTACTACAGCAGGCCCTTCTCTGGACTCTTTTCCTATAACAACGCCTCCTCTAGAGTTTTTTTCCTGTAATAGGACCTTCTTTGGAGCATTCCTCTGCACCAAACCCTCCTCCGAAGCTTTTTCCTGCAGAAAGCCCTCCTCTAAAACTTTTTCCTGCAATAGGACCTTCTCCAAAGCCTTTTTCTTGTAGTAGGCTTGTCTCCGCCGGTTTCTTCCCTGAAGCAGACAACCATAGCCAGTTCCTCCTTGCAATTTGTAAGCCTTTCCTTCCTATCGAAAAACTCCATGCAGGTCCTCCTCTATTTTCCTTTGCCACTGGAACTCTCCTTATAACTGAAGTTCTCCTGTTGCAGGCCCTTTGCAAGCCCTCCTCCGTTAGAATCTTTTCAGCCGATCTACAGGCCCTCCTCCGGAGCTCCTTCCTCTTCTTCCTAGCACTGGAATTCTACCTGCAGCATCTCTGTTCAATTTTTGCAGCCGGAACTTCCTCAATAGATTTTTCCCTATTTCAGAGTTCTTACCTGTCGTTGTTCATTCTTTTTTTCTCCGTAGGAAATACCCTGCAAGTGTTCCTCCTTTTTACTTGCAGACCATACTCTGCAACTATCACTGCAAATGTCCTTTTTTTCTCATGCAAACCATACACTGCAGCTTTCCCTGAAAATGTTCTTTCTTTGTTTTCTTGTAGGTCATACCATGAACCTTTTTCAAGCAGGTGTTCTTTCTTTCTTCTGCAGGTCCTACCCTGCAACTTTCCCTGTAGGCCATACCCTGCAGCTTTCATGTAGGTTGTTCACATCTCTACAACAATGTTATAGAAATCTTCTTCCTACCTACAGACACTGCAAAAGTTGTAGTCAAAGACAATCGTAGTCAACTAAACATTAGTTTTTCCCACAGATTGTCTACTTCCTCATACTTTCCAGTAGCATTATCTGTTGAAGGTCTTTCGCCTACCCACAAACATTATAAAAACTGTAGTTAAAGACAACCACAATAAACTAAAAATATAACTAAATGCCTTTGGAGTTAATTATCAAGTACGGGACAAAGACTTCAAGTTCTACCTCACAAAGAATCTTCCTTGCTTATTGTTTTATACTTTCAAATCCAAGTCGAAAATGGTTATCAACCATGTTTCCACTTGAGGGAGAGTGTTAGAAGTTACAATAGAAAATAATTTATTCAAGTTAGAATTATGAGGATTACATTTATTTCCTAAGACAGGATTTATTTCCTTTTTTATTTTAGATTTATTTCCTCTTTTCTATTTTATGTCGTTTACTTTATCTCCAAGTAATTATTATGAATCGATTAATTTGAGATATAAATGCTATATTTTTCCTTTCATGTTATTTTTTTCCTTGTCTTTCCTATAATAGAATTCATGTAACGGTACTTATATCCCATTTTCATATTAATAAAATAACTCCACTTAATTTTCAAAACCAATACATATAAATTTTAATCATTATAGATTAATGAAATACATGCCTTGAGTACATGAACAATTCAAACTAATTCAAATTTTGAAGTAAATCAATCTTACTAAAAAGATAAATACAAATAAAAAATGATCCTAAAGAAAAGGAGATCACGTATTTTCTCATGAAAAGTAAATGCATGATAGGAAAATAAAATGATAATAATACTACAAAGTACCAAAATAATCTCAAACATCCGATATAAAACTTCCACTAAATAGTCATATAAGAGCATTTACTAAGAAATTTGGTTTCTCATGGGTGTGTTGGATCTTCAATATGTACATAGTCGACACAAGAAAGAGGGTATGAAGGCTTTGAATTTAAAAGCCAGCATGCATGATGCTTTGTTTGAACCACACCACGAAATAAAATCTTGTGGTCTTATACTGGCAGTAGCAAAGCAAGTGCCAAATCAACATGAAGTTTTGACGAAGCCAACAACTATTGTGAAACCACGTACCAGCCTATATCTTAATATTAGTCTAACAATAATACAAGAATTTGTTGATCAATCTATATATTCATCACCATTATCAAGATACTTATGAAAAATAATAGTTCGATTAGACAATTTAGGCTCGGAATTAGCAATGAGGTTAAACATGATCAAGATTTAAGCCCAACCATAATCTCAAGCATGATTCTTATTTATTCAAGCACACCAAGGGCTTGACTTTTAATAAATGATGATTAATATTACCATCAAAATTGTCTACATCACTAAAATCATCACAAATCCTTAAAAGTTCATGCATCATAAAATCTTGTCGATTAGATTAGATTATAAAATAGTCCTATGATTATTCATGTATGGACAATTTAGTTATAGAATATCATATTCTCCAATTTAATCACTAAATTAACAAACATGATGCCAATTTAGTCATTGAGTGGTCATTGTGAATAAATTTTGTATGGAAAAGTGACAAAAAGTGAAAAAAATGTGATATTCTAAGACTAAATTTACTGCATACAAATAATCAAAAACTGTTTTCCCCAACTGATTTACATAGGTGTCAGGATAGGTGCATTGGTCACATAACAGTAGACTCATGCAAAAAAAGGAGCAAAACTCTTCGAAACAGGGGGTGCAAAAGAGAGAAACATTATCATGGAGAAGAGACAAAAAAAAAAAGAGGGCAAGAAATTTAGGAGAGGAAAATTGATTTTTTTCCGCTCAAATTTTATACAACATAGGATAATGAAATGCATGGTTTATCCGTCCTTATTTACAAAAATAGGTCTGTAAGGATTATTTAAACAAACTCAAATTTAAAAGTAAATAAACTGTAAGAAAAAAATAAGTCTTACAAACAAAATAACCCTAAAGAAAATGATATTTCTAAACTTTTCTTTTCCTTGAGAACTAAAAATAATAAATAAAATAAAATGCTATAAAATATTCAAAATTGACTCAGTGCATGCTCAGAGATATAATTAGATCAATTTTTACAAAGATTTGATCATTTATCATATTTAAAAAAGAAACATACAGGTTATAATGTCTCTCACTAAAACTACCACTTCTATATACACACAGAAGTTCTGGGTCCAGCACTAAGCTCCCCGCTTCCCAGGGTAGAGGTTACAAGTTTGAGTTTTGCTCAAGGCCTTTAAAAACTAAATATTGCTTAGCTCCCCATGTGGAACTGAATTTAAAACCAACAATTGTACCCTTATTTTGAATTAATAGAACAAATAAACTAAGTTAGATCCTTTATACATACAAATTGATATACAAATTTGAAAAAAATATTCAAAAAAGTGGCTACAAAGCCAAGTTTAACCGGGCAAAAATCCAGTAACATTATTTAGGTGACCAAAAACAGGCCCATTTATCACAATAGATAGTCAGGCAGCTCCACCATACAAGCCACTAATAAAGTATATTTTGTCATCAGTTTGAGCGAGAACTCCAATACTGGAAGAGAAAAAATCTTATACTTGTGTTAATAGCTAAGCAACCATTACTTTGCAAGCTAAATATAAACGAGCTAAATTAGCATCACCAAACAGCAAAAGTAAAGATGAGAACATTAGTAATTGCTGAGTATTATTAATATAGCACAGGATTATATGAGCAACATGAAAAACAGACATAAGATAATCTAAATGCGGGCATGAAATCCAAAACCATTTTCATAATTTGTCACAAATGACAAAAAATTTCTCATCAGCCACCAAAGTAACTGATCTGTCCTGAGGAACAAGAATAGAAAAAATCAAGGAGAAAAAATGGTCCCTACTCAGCTTTCTCTTCCCGTCTGCTTGCTCAGCTTGATTTTCATCACATTGTTAAAATTGCGCTAAACAAGTTCATGCTTATCATAGAAAATCACTGCGCGTTGAAGATTAAATTCGTACAAGTCAGCAGTAAAGCACAAAAGGCACCTGAAAAGCTCACTAAAACGCTTTCATTTCCGTAAAAGCCAGTGAAATACACCAAAAAACTATAAAATATGCACAAGAAAACCGGAAAACAGCGCAAAGCTCAGATCGACAAAAAATCCAGTGCTCGAATAGTTCAAATTGGAAAAAATAGACTTAGGATCACAAGAACGGAAAAAATCAATGAGATTTCTCACGGTTTGGACTCCAATCTCCATTACAACATCAGTATTCACCGAACAAGTATTAGGGTTTCAGAGAGCGTTCTACCTAGCAAGATGAGGACTTAGCAACCGAAAAAGTACGGACTCCCTGTGGAAAATGATAGCCGCTGTGATGCTCTTGTTTGAGATTTTCCGCTCACAAATTAAAACAAATACATGAAAATCTTTTGTAATTTTAGAAATATTTATTATTATTATTTTTTGATTAGGGTGCGTATAACCTTCAATAACCTTCCAATAATTAAATTATTGGGGGTTATTAGGGGTATTAACCCAATAACATCTCAATAACTTCTCAATAATCTACAATACATTTCGCGGTTCGACGTTTAACTTTTTTCCTGTCATTCGAGAGTTTTGTGTGGTTATTGGGGTTATTAACCCCAATAACAACAAAATAACCCTCCAATGCCCGTGAATAACTATCATATGCACGCAATTTTACGTGTTTATCACGGACGTAAATATTTTTCCTTATGAGGGGTGTGTATTTGTCCAATTCGGATGAATCGATTTGAAAAATTTATAAATTGAAATGAATAGAGATCCATAATTCAATCAACCTAACTACATAATTCTTCAAAAGATCCATCTTAGCCAAATTATAATTCTTCAAAAGAACCAAACTAGTCAAATTAAATTTTAATTCTATTTGATCGGTTCTGTTCTATATAAATCAAAATTTAAATTTGTAATATTTAAAAAATAAAAAATATATACAAATGTAATGACATAATTCTAACAAATCATATTCAATTGATTAAATAAATATACTCGAGAAAATGAATTTATAAAATAAAATTAATGGTTTAAGATTCCCATAATCATATTCAATTGACAAAGAAATGATTTTTTGTCGATTCGATCCAATCGAATCGTGACCGAATCTAACCCATAAACCAAAATATATAAAATTTAAAATTGTAGCATGAATCATTACTTTAAAAATCGAACAAAATCAGTAAAACGATTAAGCTATGTTTGGATTTTTAGATTTATCCAAACAATGCGCAATTCTAATCTCATTGAGATGCTTCGTACAATGCCAACTCATCAAGCACAAAATTATTTAAATATCTTCCTTAAATCTCTTGGCACAAATCTTGATGCACAAAACTATTTAAATACGCGAATTTTTTGTTGAGACACGTACATATTACCAACTATATCATGTCTTTACATGTCTAACATCTAAACTTTATCTTTTTTTTACATTTGTACCCCTTTAAATCTTTCCTTTCACATCAAAAAATAGCATAATTTTATTTTTTAAAAAAAGTACATTATAACTTTTTATGCATGTAAGATGGTATATGTGGTACAAATTGAAGTTTAGGTGTTAGATATTTAAATGTATAAGAATTGAGGGATATGTATGTAAAAATTCTATTATATATATATATGTGTGTGTGTGTGTGTGTGTGTGTTAATAATATAAAAAAATAATTTAGTTTCAAATTTATTTTTAATTATAATTAATTTAAATTGAATTATATTTTTAAATTATAATTAATTTTATATTTTAAGATAATATCAAGTTTTGATTGAATATTTTAATGAACTTGTTTAAGAGCTTTAAATGTTACCGTTCATAATCACAAATAAAAAGAAAAAAGTAATAGTTGAAATAAGGCGTTGCAATTGTAATTTTTTTTATCATATATTTACTTTTATATACAACTATCTAATAAAATATTTAAAATGCCAATGTTGGTCCCAAACAAGGGTGAAAATATTGAGAAAACCTATGAAAAATATTTTATGCTCTGGTTCTACATTTTTTTTGGCTTGCAGATAATGGTAATAAAATAATGGAAGTTGTTTGTTGAT